TCTTAGACTTACTTGGCAAGCTAAACATGACTGACATCCATGCTTAGCTTGAGGGGGAGTGTTGGTTCGGCTGATTTAGTGTCTATGTTAGTCATATTTGTGTCTTAAGTCATTAATTATTGGGCCTAAACTTGTTTAATGTTTTATTTGTCTAGGTGTCCCATCACTAATCAGGGGCATTCTAGTCCATTCATGTAACATTATTTGGTAAACATCTATATAAGATTGTAGGGTCGGCTGAAGTAGTTGAGCCGCCATTCTCAAACTTTCTTCTCTTCTTCTTCTTCTTCGGCTGCTGTGTTCCAGCAAACAGAAACATCATCTACCTTTGAGTTAGGAACATCAAAATCATGAAGAATAATAGAACTATTTGGACACTTGGCTACTTGTTTAAAATAGGAGACCTATTCAAGAAAAATAAAATTTCTTGAGATACACACATGATGAAGAGTTAGATCATAACAAAGACCCTTGTGATTACAATTGTAACCTAAGTAGGCACACATAGTAGATTCAGTTGACAATTTGATGTATTCATGTATAGGGAGGTGAACAAAACAAACACAACCAAAGACATGTAGAGCTAAGTAATCTGGAGGACGATGATATGACTGTTGAAAAAGAGAAACATTGGAAAGAGTAAGAGAAGGCCGACTATTTAAAGATATATCAAGGTAGCTAAAAGATCAACCTAGAAAGTAGGGGAAACATTGGAACCCTGAAGACTGACTATTCACTTTGCTATACCATTTTGTTGTGGTATGCTAGGACATGGTTGTTAAAGAAAATTGATTGTTGGGATAGAAACCATATGAGCTCAAAAGATCTTGAGATTGATTATCCATGTAGTCTACCCCTAAACTTGAGCATGATTTTAGAAAAAAAAAAATGAGTCTCAAGCATAGACAAAAAGAAAAAGTAAAATAAGGAAGAGTTTCACTTTTCTTTCTTGAAAAACCGATTCATGTAAATGAGTATTTTACTCTTCTTTTCTTTCTCAACCATACAAAATATTTGAATCCCGTTCGAGATAAGATGAGTATTCTACTCTTGCTTATAGAAACATGTAATATAGGATTTTGTTGAGGACTCAAAAGGGGGTAATTTACTCTTCTAAAAAGTAGAACGAACAACTGCAGCTAGTTTATTGGTACAAGGGTGATGCAAACAATGATGCCAAAGATGTTAAAAGGTATCATGAAAAGTGAAAAAGAAGCAAAAAAACAATCATTTGATGAAGAGTTACAATCAAATTCCAATGTAAAGATACGTCCAACCTTTAGACTCCTCCATGTCACTCTCTCAATGAGTTAGTCCTCAATCAAACAACCACTACATGAGAAATGAGCATCATACCCATTGTCAACAAGCCGTTGAATAGAAATCAGATTGGTAGTGAGTTTAGGTACAAGAAGTGTGTGCTTTATTGACAATGAGCCAAAAGGAGTACTAGAAAGGGTCAAGTGTCAATAGCAATTTGAAGTTTATCATCATTATTAGTGACAATTTTATTATTACCAGAATAAGGAGTGTGACCTGGCTAGGTGAAACACATGTCGTGATTTGATGCTCCAGAATCAATGATCCAAAGAGGACTAACAGGAGAACTAAAATAACAAGGCTTACCAAAAAGTCGTGCTGTCAAAAGACCATAGATGCTTGAGGAATATGCCTTGAAGAGGACCAAGAGGTTGTAGAAGTTCCAGAAGAAATGCGTTTCATCTATAGTGGCCTGATATTCTTTGTATCCCTTCCTCCCCTGAAATGATTTGGCTCTGCATTCCATTCACCACTTTCCCTACCCAAAAATTCCATTTCTTATAGTATGAAGCAATGTGACCATATTCTTTGTATTCATGACATTGCACGCGAGAAAAATCTCTAATACTAGTTCCTTTGCCATTAGAAGTTTGTGCTAGAAAGGCTACATCAGGTTCCTTCAACAATTTCCTGAGAATAGCATCCATATCATCAATAACACCCCAATTGGGTAGGTGCAACTGCATAGCTTTTCATTCCTTGTTAATCTTCTAAAACTTTTGGTTAAAAATAAAATTATTAATGAAATATATCATCGGTAATTTTCTTATCCCTTTGAGTATGCATTAATATTATCATACTCCATCTTGAACTTCTTTTTATTGGAAGATAAATAAAATTAAATTAAAACCAAAAATAGGATACAAGAAAAGTTGATAAGCAATCACCTGAATGAAAAGATACAACACCCAGAGAACGTCCGACTAAAGCTTAAGACACCCAGATATGCCAAACCATCCCATCAAAACCAGACCCACAAAATCAAACCCCATACAATGCGGAATGAAACGACATGTAACAACAAACAAGCACAAACATACACCCATACAATACCCAAAGCAAAACAAAACTATCCCCAACTTATACCCATAACGAACCCCAACGAATGCTGAATCAGCAAATCTACTTGTTAGTTTTTTGATTATCATCTTCCTGTTGTCTTCTGACTGCACTTCTGAGATTCCTTACTTTCTTGTTAGGTCCAAGGCCAAATATTCCTCCTTTTATCCTTGCAAAACCTTTGAAACTGGTATCTGCTTTTGGCTTCTCTTACTCTTCTGCGTTTTGAATCTTCTAACTATATTTAAAGTTCCAACGGCTTCTTTCATCTTCCCCTTCTAATTCTGACCCCTAACCGTAATACCCTCCCTCTCCACATCCTCCTCCTTGACGTTATTCTCATCGCCTCCATCATACTTTTCCACCCCTTGATTTATTAAATTACTTGAATTGCAATCAGCCACTGTATCTTATTGATTTTCGACCTCCCCATTTCTTTCCTCCACAGACTTGAAGGCTTCCTTCGTGTATTCTTCCCCTCCTAAGAAAAATAGACCCAGAATTCTGCCAGCTTCCACTTCCTTATTCACTACTTTTTCAATGTCACAAGTACCCTCCACCTTTTGTGTCTCATCTATCATCGGATCACCCTCACTTTCCTCCCCTGGGTCCTCCCCTGAATACAATTTCAGTCCCCTTTCTCTGTTTTATTCCAAGGGAAAAGTTCTGTATCTTTTCCTTTTCAACATTCTGACCCCACCCCCGCTATTGTTTCCTATCCCCTTGCTTCCCCCTCCTCATTTCCTGCTCCTTTCTCCACTCCAGATGGAACTTCTGGGCCACATATGTTTGCTGATATACTTTCTTCAAATTATCCACATGGATCTCGCTGTCTGAAATCCCCAAAGTTGATAGGCAATAGTCATTATCAATTGAACCCCACAACCAGGAATCAGTTTGAGTATTATTAGCCTCCCACTTTTCTATTTGCTAAGCAGACTTCTCATCAGGTTGGGCCTTTGTCCCATCAAGTAATTCCCAAAGCCTTGTACTTTCACATAAAATTGAAACTGGAATAGGTACATGATATAGTTCTGTCCATCAAACCGAACTGAGATAAGTTCAGACTTGCCAGGGGTCATTTTGGGTTCCAAATCTTGCTAAACCAGGCTGAAACTCTAGTCATTAGGGCAAATATTTATCATGAGGGATCAGAACTCTCAACCTGATTGTATTTCAGTTCTTAGAACCCGGAATAGTAAGGAAACATCACAACTAGAGTTCTAAAAACAAATCTGGTCCAAACCAGAAAATTCTGGTGTCAAATATGCTTCAATGTGGAGTCTATTAAACTCCTACAACCAAAAAGTATCGAGCTTGCACAAGCGTAGGCTGAAAGGTCATAAAAAATGGCATGTAATCTAGATTTTCCCCCTGAACACTGAGATATGCAAGGAGATCAGAACTGCCCTTCTAAATATCCTGTTTCTTGGCTGAAAGAAGAAACCACAATAGAACCCCAAAGAGTACCCTAAAAATTTGACAAATATATGTAGTTTTCTTAAAATACCTCCTAATAAATCTTTATCAACAAGAAGACTTCTCACGAGGATCTAAACAGCTTCACTCAACTTGGCGTGATCAACTCTGTGAACAATAACAGCAAGAAACCTAGAGCAGAATGAACAACTTCTCTTGCTTCCTCCAAGTCACATATCAGCAAGAATCATGGACAGATTACAAGAGCCTTATCATATGGGCATATTACATAAAGAAGAAGGATACCCCCATCCCCAAAGAGCACATTTTATTGGACATGCCCAAAGCTATGTGCAATTATATATCCTTATCATATGTCATATGGACAGATTACAAGAGCCTACATGCATCCTATTGTAATACAATGAGATCCACCAATAAAATACATGAATGAAATAAAAATAAAATACAACCCTATTTACAATGAAAAAGAAAAAAAAAGTCTTCTATATGATCAGTCCAGAAAGAAATACAAAAATTCACCCAGTTTCAGTTCCCAACCAAGATGCAGATATGCAGAAAATAAAAATTTGAGGGATCAATCAGATACATCCTCTATCCTGTTCTCATACCATGTAGTTTATTATGGAAATATTAGAGAAGAGAGAAGAGGGGAGAAAAGAGAGATAGACAAGAGAATGAAAGAATCTTTGTTGGACTGGTGTTGTCCACTCTATTGTTATATTAGGGTGGCTTAATAAAAGGTAAAAAGATTACTATACCCCTCCATGCGATAAAGTACAAATTCAACAAGAACTTTTAAAATATGAAAATGATTATTACAAATTATACTATAAAAAAACTAAGTATAATTGAAATTTAATTAAACACAAATTTTGAGAAATGACTTTTAGCTTCAAGAACTCAAGATAAACTCATAAAATAATCATTACATGGGATACCCATGTGTGTATCCAGGATTTTATGAAATGGAGGGCCATATCCCCGTTTCCCATATTCATGTCCCTATCGGTATCCATATCTGGCATTATGGGTATTTACTTAGTCCATGGACTTGAGTAGGCTGGACAACAGCTGACTTACCTATCCTTTTCTTTCTTCTTTTATCTCCAAATGGAGTTTTCAATCCCTTTACTGCTATTGCTTATGATCCTTTTCATCCCTTTTTTTTGTATCACTAGGTTGGTGCTGGCACAAATCCACTAGAAGGAGCAGCACTGGGAATGTCACTTCTGGAATCTTTTGCTGAAACTCGTGCCTTATTGGCAATAGCCACAACGCATCATGGCGAGCTCAAAACTCTAAAATATAGGTATTTGATGTCAGTTCTGAAGATGGTGCTGTTGTTTTGAAAAGTCCCTGTACATCTCATTTGAAGATGCTGTTTTGAGCATTTGTTTCCAGCTGGCAGGCTATTATATAGGCTGTAACCTTGAAGGTTTACAGTAGCTTTTCTTTTACAGTAATGGTGCCTTTGAGAATGCATCTGTTGAATTTGATGAAGTGAACTTAAAGCCAACTTATAAGATACTCTGGGGAGTTCCAGGTTCTCTCTCTCTCTCTCACATACACACATACACACACACACACACAACATTGACTATGGTTAATTTGTGCAATACTGGGTGCTTTGAATGTTATAAATGCTTAAAATATCTAAGTTTTTCAATGATACTAGATTGCATATCAACTCCTCTTGTACGTATTTGTGACATCTGAACATGCTTATTGTATCTGTTATCTCTAAAATTTGTTTTATATGCAATACTATTTTCAGTTGGGAATGATCACAAGTCTAGTCATTATAATCGTGGTTTAAAATGTCCATAAGCCTCCTAGTATTTCCATGACATATTCCCAATCGATAGGTACTGAAACTAAATTTACTGGAATAGACATATTCCCCAGGGAAAGCTACCAGTGCCATGTGGAGTAGCTAAGTTATTGCCCACCTAATATACCTGATTAACACTTTGAAACAGGTCAAAATTCTTTTCTATCATGAAGTTAGATCTTAGTTTTTTATTTGTATAATATATTATTTGGTTGAGTATTTGGAACAAGGCAATAATTTAAAAGGGTCTACCTATGCCTCTGTATCATTACATAAAATAGCATAATAGCATTCTATATTTTTACATATCACAATGCTTCCACTATGTTTACAATTTTTAGAATATTTCCATATGCGTTTTCTGATATTTCTGACATGTTTTCAATATTTTGACAACTGATATTTTCCACTGATACTGACATTTTAAACCTTGATTACAATATATGCTGAAAACTTGTAAGAATCATCAAGAAGTCAAACTTATTGACGTGTAAAAACTTGAATTCATGCTATCATAAACTTGTGCAACTTGGGATGAATTTGTGACCACTGGAATTTGCATAGTTTCCAAGAAAACTAAACTTTCTGCTGTTTCTAATGTTGGTACCCACACAATCATATATTTTATATTTGCATTATACAAGTAATAGACAACTTTAAATTTATATGTTAAGTTTCTTACAGTTAGATGCTTCTTATTGAAAACAGATAGCCTCTAGCTCTCTTTTTTACGAAAGAATTGATGATGAGTTTTCACTGCAGGACGTTCAAATGCAATCAATATTGCCAAAAGATTAGGACTACCTAGCATAATTATAGAAAATGCTCGTGAACTATATGGAACAGCTAGTGAAGAGATTAATGGGGTAATGTTCAGTAGTTTATGGAAATGCTTTAACACCTTTGGTGCTTCTTAATTACGAACTGCTAAACAAACATTAGATATGAAACCATTGTCCCTCATTGCAATCTAACTTAACCATCATATTTATATTGTAGGATGTAAGGACACATGAAAGCTACAGCTATAAGTTTTTGAAATACAAAATAGTGAAAATTTTGCTAATGTGCCTTTTTTATTGTTTGCACTGATCATAGATGAATTGACAAACACATTCAAGAAGCCCCATGGTGCATGTTGTTTGTGGATGGCATTGTTTTAACTGATGAAAATAATACCAACTAATGATGACTCAGTTAGCAAGGTCCTTGGCTGATTGTATCAGAGGCATAGGATCAAATCCCACTGTTATTAAGGTTGGGGGACCATGGTTGTGGGTGACAAGCTACCCCCTATTGTTTAATGAAGGATTGAATGCAAAATTAGGTATATAACAAATACCTCAGAAACAAGAGGTTTTAAAATAAGTAGGAATAAAACAGAAAATGTGTTATGTAAATTTTAAAATAATAGGAGTACAATTCACGTCAGAGTCAATTTGGAAGAGACAAAGAAATCTGAAAAGGGTGTGTCAAGCATACCACACGCCCAAAATGATTTGAATTATATATCAGAGAATTACATAAAGGATAAAGGACCATTGTACCCTTCTCAAATACAAAAGAAAAGACTATGAAAACAAAATATGTTAAGTTACTAATCCAAAAGAAACTAGTGTTATCCTTTAATGATATGTTATGTATCCTTTACTTCATGCAGGTAATAATTGATATGGAAAGGTTTAAGCAAGATTTTGAAGAGCACATTCGTCAAGCGCAACACTATCTAAAGTAAGAATCTTATTGGTTTAATGGCATGTTTGAGAAGAAACTAATAGTGTGTCATATAATGGTGTACTAATGCTATGTGATAAGGATAATGCAGTTATTTGGAAATAAAACAAAATTGTGTTGGAAATATGCTAAGGAAAGACTATTTGACCTGGCTATTACGGAAACACCTTTGCTTGTCTGTTGATTAAAGGCATCCAATCAGCTTGTTTGTCTAGTGGGTCCTACATGGGATTTATTGTTTCACATTTCAGTTCAAATTTTATAAACCATGTCTACTTGTTCTCTCAAACACACTATATACTACAACACTTGCATTACAAAAGCGACTGAATGCTTATGGTACATGAATATGTATAGGCAATGGGTTTTTGTAGCTAGGCCATTTCATGATCTTCCCTAAATGACCTAGGAGTCATCCATGTGGTAAATTATTTTGGAGTGCAAAAGGAGTTTCCATATTCCTCTTCCCAGTTCCTACCCTTCATTCATGAAAAGAAATTTCCATAAGATACATTGCCACATTCCAAATAAACCCTCTTCCATGAACAACTTTAATTGAAAGCAATGTTCTAAGACTCAGACTGGACACAAAAGTGGAATCTTTACAGGGCCACAGGTCAAATGGTTTGACCATGAGTCACATAAAAACCATATATAATAGATTTTATAAGCTAAAATAGACTTGTAAGTGGCGACTAGATGGTCGAAGTGTTTTTTTATCTGATATAAATGACTAGGGTTCAAATCTTTCAACTTGAAATTTTTCAAAATTGGGCCCTCAACAAAACAAACCAGCCCACTCAACACTCCCCCCCAAGTTGGGAGTAAATGTCACGCATTCCCAACTTGCGTAGATCATGCTCCAGCTTGTTCTTTGCAACACCCTTTGTGAGAACATCAGCGAGCTGCAGATCAGAAGCAATGTATGGAAG